TTGCTATCCTGCCAGAGGGGGAAAATATGTTCCCTAAGTGTGTATAATGATCGAGGGTCTTAAGAGCTTTGTTTCCTGTCTGTTATGAATAGCTCACCCACAGATAAAGTGGTCAGTATCCAATTAGGTTGTTTTACACAAAAGTTGTCAAATAATTCATGTCGATCACTTTGCATTTTTAATTGAAAAGAGCCACTCTCTGGGTTCCATATAGGAATAGCTTGCGAGGTGGGGCACCAGCTTTGGCCTGTCACTCACAGTCCCGTGATTGTTCCTATCACACTGTGGGCACAAGTTTAAAGAATACTGTTTGCCTTTGGCAAAGGCCCTGTTTTCTATTGAGGCAGATCTCTGAACACCCTTATCCTCACCCTTTGGTGGCTTCTAATGAATCCTATATTGGCTACAGATGTGTCTTTTCTTTCTTTCTTTCCTTAAAGTTTACTTATTTACTTCTTCCAGTGAGAAAGAAAAAGGGAGCGAGAGACAGAGAAAGAGATAGACACCTCCAATAGAATCTTTTTTTTTTTTTTGAGAGGTTTTTGCTATAGGGTGTGTGCATTTGCCAGAAAGACAGAGAGAGACAGAGAGACAGAAAACGAGAAATCACACAACCCCCTCAGTGGGGGATGGCCACACTACAATCCCTTCCCCTCCATTTTCCTCTCAGGATTTTGGGCATGCACACACACACGCCTGGTGTGAGTTTAAGCCACTGGGTCTGGGACTCTAACCATGGTCAACTATATGGGAGTCCAGCAATGTAGCCATTATGCCATCTGCTGGTCCCATCCCTAACAGAATCTTTATGCCACAATCCTTCCACCAGCGTCAGCCAGCCTGGATCACACGTAGGTATAGGGAGCCTCAGGACACAAGCCTGGGCCTTCCTACATGGTTTTAGCATCTTGGACCATTGCATTACCCCCTGTGGCTGGCCTGGCAATCTCCCCAGCTCCTCTCCTCACTCTCTTCATGAAGACAATGTATTCATGATTGGATAGTGAGAACAGGCTCTAATAACCTATATCACAGGTAAAAAACAGGTCAATGTGTTACTTCTCCCATGGATATAGGAATGGTAAAAGGGTGTCTGATTTGGAGTTTTAGGAAAAAGATACTTTGATACGAAAATAGAAGAGGAGTCCCTACAACCTTTCATTGCACGTGTGTGGTGACCTACTCAGCTCACCAGTGAGATGCTATCTGCTGTGGGAGTGATATTACAGATCAGTCCATGTCCTATTTGGCTACTCTAATCAGGCTTCGATTCAAACTGCTACCATTGTAGATTGGGTGCACTCATACTTGGCTTTTAAACATTTATATCTAGTGTCTTACTTATAATATATCGATGTATATCTTTGGCAAATCCGTGAAAAATGTTTCTTTGTGAATTTGGCCAAGTCTCTGTTTCAACTAGAGAAAACTGTTTGCTTTGTTTTGTTTTGTTTTGTTTTGTTTTGTTTTAGGTAGCCAATTTGTGAATTTGGCCAAGTCTCTGTTTCAACTAGAGAAAACTGTTTGCTTTGTTTTGTTTTGTTTTGTTTTAGGTAGCGACTACTCTTGGTCAGAGCAGGTTACTCATCTGGAAGACTTTTAGGACCATCAATGGAACTTTCTCTAAAGGAACAAACCCACCTAGGCATAAATCTATTTTTAGTCTTGGATCTGAAATCCTACTTTTTCTAACTCTTTGGCCATGCTCTCTGTTAAAACAGCCAGATCTTCAAATCATAGATCATTAGGAGCATTCATACTGAACTTTTATCTCAATGCTGAAGCTGGAAGGTGCTGGAGCCTGGAAGGCAGTGTGTTTTATTTTAAGTTTCTCTACATGGCCAATAGCTCCAAGAGGATGATTTCTAACAGAACTAAATCCCTTTTGTCATTTATTTTTATGATAATAGTAAGATCTGTGAGCATTTTGGAGGCTTTGGGATGAAAGAAACTATCATTTTTAACTTTCGCTACCCTTACACTTGGGAACATGTATTGTTCATTTTCTCTTAAGAAATCACCTAAATAGATTAACTGCTCCATATGGCTTTGGAGAAATGAAAAATACTGATGGAAAAGGTGCTGGTGACCACAACAATACACTTGCAATTGCCATTTAGCTTATCCCTTTGTAATCCTCTGTTCCACCTCACTGAGGCTGGTAATGTGAAAACCAAGCCGGGTGCCCCAACACACAACAAAGGGATTGCTGAGCTCGGTGCACCAACCTCATTGCCTGGTTCAATCCCTTTCTCCTGTGGATGTAGTCTTTATGGGCAGAGAGGGCCACTGGGGGGCTCCTCATCCCTTCTTTATTTTCTGAGGCAGGCAGTGCTGATGTGGTATGAGCAGCCACTCTTGTCTTGCTGGTAAGAGCTCAGACATTTGCTTTTGTAGGGCTCCATGGTCAGTTATGACAAGCAAGGTGTCTACACCCATGCTACTCAGAGTGTGCCTTTGGGCTAGTGGAATCTGTCTCACTGGTGTCTAGTCCAAAATGCTGAATCCCAGGCTCTGCCCCAGACCCAGTGAGCCAGAATCTACATTCTGACAAGATTCCTGATGATTCACATGCACATTTAAGTCTGACGAGCTCGCCCTAAGTGTCTTCAGGTGCCAGAGAAGGGTCATAGGTAATGTCTGGCCTTATTACATCTGTTCCCACACCGCTATGTCCTGAGGTAGGGAAGCAGGGTCTTCCTTCTCTACCTTCCGTCCTAGCCTGACAATGCAAACCGTTCCATTTCAAGTTTAGGTGTCCTTTCATCCTTAATAGTTGATCTTTGGAAAAAAGGAATCAATATTTGCCCACAAGTCATTCCTTTCTGGGCCTGTTTCAAAAGAAGAAAAGGATTGGCGAATATTCTTAGCATCTGCCACTGCTTTTATAAAGCTGCAAATCTCTTAGGTCAGCAGAGACTCTATGATGACTACTAAAGTGTACAAATACCGTTTGAAAAGACACTGCAAAAATTCTTACCTAAGGCACGCTGCTTTATTTCTTCAGTGATGCAGCCAGCACAAAGACCGCTGGGGCAAGTCTTCAAAGGGGGGCAATTCTCTGCAGAAAGAGGTTCAGCGGGATTTACAACAAAGACCTTCTCAGGATTAACAGCAGTTTGCTGGTTTGGAGTGAGCAGAGGGACTGGAAATACAGTAAAACAAGTTGAAGATACAATGGCAGGTGTAGCGGGAGATCCTTTGGGGCTGGACTGGGATCCCATGGAAAGAGATGCAGAACCTGGCAGTTTTCTGGAGATGGATAGAGGAAGCTATTGAAGTTGATGAATTGAAGGGGCATGTCTTTCTTGCATTCTCAAAAAATAATAGTGATTTTCTCCATAGATATTAGTAAGCACACGAAGTCTATAACACAATGTAATGTCTTGCCAAGAAGATTTAAAATAGGTTGACCAGCTGTTATATACCCAAGTAAATGTAGTTCTCTAAATTCAGATTTGCAGGTGTCAGTTTAATCACTAGAATTTACATGGGTAGACCAAAACATGGGCTCTTCAGACAGATGCAATGAGAACCTGAGATGTGCTCATTTAATACTTTCTTTCTTTCTTTTTTATTTTTTATTTTGGAGAGCTTTTTGTTATAGGGTGTGTGCACTCTCCAGAAAGACAGAGAGAGCAGAGAGACAGAAAGCAAGAAATTACCCTCCCCTCTGGGGGGATGGCCATGCCGCAATCCACTCTGCTCCATTCTCCTTTTGGGATCTTGGGCACGCATGCACATGCACCCAACATGAGTCTAAGCCACCCAGTCTGGGACTCGAACCTTGCTTGACTACATGGGAGTCCAGCGATATAGCCATTATGCTAACTGCTGGTCCCAATACCGGCTTTTAAAAATCCTCATCCTATCAGTAATGACAACCATCTCTACTACCAAGTTAGAGAAGAATTTAAGATGTTAAATTCTGTGCAGACATTTGGAAAATGGAAACCACACTAGCACTGCCTGTCAGGACATGGAATATTAGAATAGGGATGCAGGTAAAGGCAGATTTCTTGTGAAAACACTAGAGCTTTGAAATACGGTCACACACACTGTCCACTGCACAATTCCAGGGGGTGACATTCAGATGGCATCTATGGCTGTCATTCCAGAGATATAATAGTGGCAGCTGTGAATATTGTCATGTTTTCAGTTTACTCCTCATATATTTCCAATCATTCATTTTTGGTAATATTTTTAATTCTCTGAATATGGGGTCATCAGAAAAGTCATGATGCAGTTTTGGGTAGAAAAACATACAAATGTACGTCATGACTTTTCCAAGAACCTAATAGTTTCAGGGCCATGTAAAGTTTATAAAGTAGTTCCCAAAATACTTATCACATACCCTTCTATTTGGTGTGTGAATCTAACAAATTTCAAAGCCAGTGGTTTATATAATTACCATTAAGGTAAGAATATTCAAGTTTATTACATATAATAAAATATTTTATCAGTGTTACTGTCATATGTGATTAGGAGGCTGGGCACAAGAATTCATGCTTGGGAGGGAATCTTTCCTCTTTTACTAACCACTCGTGAAATTTTCTTCTTCTCTCCACTCTCCTTTTTAATGTCATAGAGTGAGAGAGAGAATGTGAGAGACAGATAGACAGACAGAAATGTCTGGTCATGCCACAATCCTTTTTCCTTCAATTCTCTATCCCATCATGATCCTGAGCATACACATGTGTCCTGACAGGAGCAGGACTTGAGCCCTGATTGGCCATGTGGGATCTGTCTTCCTCTGCTTAGTGCTTAACTACAGGATGAGCCCCAGTTGTCAAACTTCTTAAACTTCCTCATCTGAAACATGGGGATGATCGTATTGATAGTATCTATGTATGTCATAGACTTGCTACAAAGATTGCATGAGATGATCCATATAAACCTCTAAGCATTGCATCTGACATAGACTATAAATAAATGTTAGGGACTATGCATTTTAATCTAATGTTCTTAAATCTACACTAACCTATTCCTAACTTTTTCAGGAAACTCCAGATTCAACCAAACTAATGTCAGCAATGTTATGGAAACACGAGAAAGAAAGATCATCTTAACTCACATTTACAAGTAGAAGATTCTACGAGGGAAAATGGTAACTATCACTCTATTTGCTCCCTTTCCTACTAGTCTAAATTTAAAAAGAATCGGATGAATGTTATTGAAAAGAGCTGAAAGTTGTTAAGACCTCTACCTTCTCATGTCTTTAACTGGTGACAAAGTAAATAGGGGTTGTGATCTCCATTGATACTGTCCACCAAATGTGTTTGGTTATCCTTGACCAGGAAGGAATTGCACTTCCTGCCCATGAACTTGGGTAATGCCATGTGGCTTGCTTTGGTCAATGAAGTGTGAGAACAAGGGATGTTTGAGACTTGTGGGAAGAATCTTTAGTGCTTGTTTAACTAAACTCTTGCTTCCCCCTGCTTCAGTGAATGTTTAAGTATGAAATTAGATGGAGCAAGCAGCTTGGATTCCTGATAGGCAGAAGTAGCAGAGGCACCTGAAGGCCTTTGATAGATGAACATGAGCCAGATAAGAAGCTCTGTGGTCTCGAGCCACTGAAATATTGGAGCTTGCTTGTTATTGCAGCATAGCTTGCCTGTCATGACTTCTTCAAGGAGACTTGTGAGGTTATTACAGTTTTGGTTCTAAGAGATATACTAGAAGACCCAGATTATGTTTTAGAGATGGTCAGTGTGCAGATGCATGTGAATCTTCCAATTCAATTTAAATTAGAAAATATAAATATCATGTTAATAACTAGTTTATATATTTTAAGCACTTACTAATAAATAACAACATGTCCATCATTTTATGTCTTAAAATAAACATAGGGCCTTTAACAAATTAATCTGGCCTAGTTAAGTCTAACATTATTGAGGAAGAGCTAAGGTAGAATGTTTCTATTCAACCCTCAATCCTTTTTATTTTTAAAGAAGTTTGTGTAAAATGTATCTGATTGAGGACAAAAGACTGTACAAGTCACTGGCTAATTTTCTCAAGAGAAAATTTAAGAATATTAGGATCTACACAAAGCAATTTTTCCTGTAACATGATATTGAACTGGTAATCAGATATAAAATTATCATTGATTTTTACACATTATTTATGGTGTTGTGAGAAGGAGACACATGTGGAATGTGGCAATGATTGCTGTATTTTGAACTCTATTCAACCCACTGTAAGGGAAGCAGGAAAAAAAAACAAAGAGCCTTTGAGAACTTGGAAGTTAAAACCATAACTACTCAGAGACTACTGAGATTAGAAAATATTAGTGCTTATAACACAATTAGGATGTTGTTCATTTATTTTTTGGATTAGGGACATTTATACTTTTTATACTTTTTGCATTTTAGTTCATAGCTGACCACATAAGTAGACAAAAACCATGGATTCATTGCTAATTATTTGTCTACTAAACCCAATTTGATTTGATTATGAAAATAAACATAAATCCTATGAGAAATTGTTTTTCCTTTTTAAAATAATTAGTTAATTATTAGTATTAGTATTAGTTTAATTTGACATGTATGCTCATTAGAGAGAGACACATACAGAGAGGTAAAGTGAGAAAGCAAGCTACCAGGTTTGGGACTTCAACCATGGTTGGCTATGTGGGAGTCCAGCATCCCCAATCAGGATGCCACCTGCTGGTTCTGAGAGAAATTATTTAATAAAAACCAACAAAATATATGAAGAAAGAAGACAACTGAGTTATCAGGTCTTAAATTCTGTATTTCAATGGGCAATGGAAAATTCCTGTACTCATTGGCCATGTTCATTTTTGCTCTTTACTTTTACATTCTGATATTCAATTTATTTAAAAAATATTCTTGATTATTCTGTTACTTAGTAATGGGTCATAGATGTATAGCTCAATTTTCACTCTCAACAAGGTAAGTGGTTTTGGTCACCTATAGGAATGATACTAGCTGGTTTATTCAGCTACACACCTTTTTAATGCCACTGCTTAGTAACATTTTTCTTCTGAGTTATTTTGCTTAATTGCCTTTTCTCATTTAGAAGTGAGAAAAACTAAAGTTCAGAGAGGTTAAGGGAATGGCAGAGAGACAGTAGTGGATGGCTTCTTTGGGCCACCTTCGAAAATGTGCAGCCCATTCCAGTTCTCATGAGTTCACTTAAATGATGGCACTGTATGAAATGTGCAGACAAAGGAAGAGAGACATGGCACCCACCCCCTGGTACCTCATTTTCCCATCACTGTCTCTGGGTAGAAGACTAACACAGCTGGTTTCCTTTCCCTTTGGATGAAACTGTCACATGACAGATATTCTGTTAATGGCTCCTTTGAGTTTCACTCAGAGGCTTAGACCCCTATCTTCCCTACCCCAAAGATAGTAAGAACTGGAATATTGGGTCTCAGGATCCTTCTAACAAAAGGCTCTGCTGTCGGTTACAACAGCCCAACAGGCACGCCTGCCTTGGGGTAGAGGCTTTCTCAGTTCAACTTCCATTCAATCTAGCCCCATTTATCTCATTATATTTTCACCCTCTCAGTCGTCTTTGGTTACTGTTGGGTTGTTGGGAAAGTCATGAGGCATTTTTGCATTGGAAGACATAGAAAAATATGTCATGACTTTCCCAAGGACCTAATATATTTGGGCTTTTTGCTATTAGCTGATACAAATTCCTATTGTTGTGTAGTGGAGCTGTGTGCCAGGAGACAGTTCATTTTCAGCAGCATTATCTTTTGTATAGTTGTTTGTCCAGTTATTTGAATACCTGCTTGCATTTATTTATTTATTTATAGCATTTGTTTGTTTATTTATTGATGTTTTTTGTCATAGGGTGTGTGTGCTCACCAGAGAGAGAAAGAGAGAGAGATAGTAAGAGGGAAAGTGAGAAATAACTCCCTAGGAGTGATGGCCATGCCACAGTCCCTTCTTGATTCTCCTCTTGGAATTTTGGGCATGCAGACACACACATGTTCAGCATGTTTTTCAAGCCACAATCGGCCATGTAGGAACCCAGTACCTTAACTACCATGCCATCTGCTGGCCCCTTTATTTCATTATTTCGACAAAAATTCTTTAAAAATGGAAACTTAGAAGCAATCAACATAAATGATAACAAAGCAGAGATGGAAATTCTTTTATTTGCTGAAACTGGTTATTTATTATTATTTTTTTAATGCTAAAGGACATGTATGCAAGCATGAGAAAGAGAGAGCACCTCCCATTAGGCCTGTTCATGCCACAAGCCTTTTTCCTCCAATTCTCCATCCCATCAGGATCCTGGGCACGCAGACATGCCCTACATGTTTTTCAAGCTGACAGGACTGGGACACAAACCCTGGTTGATCATGTGGGATCCAGCTTCCTTTGCCTAACATTTAACTGCTGCGCTATGGGGCTGGCCTTGAAAGTAGTAAATATTTAGCTCAAATACTCAGGGGCCTTAAGATGACTTGTGTATATCAATTCAAAAGATACGAAAAACAAAGAATGCATATTTTAAGAATATTATCATACCACTTTTAAAGGAGCCATATTTTGGAGTCTGAAAATGTGCCATGATCTAAATAGGTTTTCATTGTTTCTTCCTTACTACTGCTATTATAAAGGTGAAGTGGCCAATCTTGATTGTGCATGGGCAATGAATATCACTTCATGAATATATTTGTTTATTTTGTGTTGACCTGCAATGAGAAAATAAGGTCTGCAGGAATAGAAATACCTTGTTTGTAGCTGTAGCCATAGCACATGGTATAGAAACTAGCCCAGAGTCGGTGCTTAGAGCACTCATGGAAACTCACGAGTGAGGAATTCACTTTACAGAACAACACTTGTGCTATATGCCTTCATACACACCTATCCCTCCCTTATGTTTTTTTAGAAAAGCGTTATCGTTCAGCCTTAAAATTATTTGTTGCTTATTTTGCCCATTTATTTGCTCTGTGCTTTTAGGCTTTATTACAATTACTGGCACTTTATCAAACTTGAAAATGCATTAAGTAGGACCAGAGGTGGCGAGGTGCTTAAGGTGCTGGACTCCCACATGGCCCACATGGTGTAAATTCTGAACCTGGTGGCTTGTTTTCCCACTTTCTCTCTCTGTCTCTGTTTTTCTCTGGTCAAATTTTTAAAACAATATTAATAATAAATAAAATTAAATAGATAATTATTTTCAAAATGCATTAGGTAAGTCTGGCTCTATGGCCTGGTGATTAACACAGCTGCTTGAATATGTTGTTCAAGCCCTGGATCTGGTGGCTTGAGAAATAAATTGAGCACGTGACTGTATGTACCCAAAATCTTGAAAGGAAAGAGAGCTGGAGGAGGAGAGATCGCAGTGTGACCATTTCCCATAGGGGTGCTTTCTCTTCTCCCTCTCTTTTTGGCGAGTACATGCCCTCTAGCAAATAAATAAATAAACAAACAAACAAATAAAAGCGTTAAGTATTTGTTGGTTATGGTATACTGTCTTGAAATCGACTTTTTTCCTGCAGCCTTTTGTGTGCTTTGTAACATTCACCTAGTTATGTCTGTGTGTGTGTATGTGTGTGTGAGGAGAGAGAGAGAGGGAGAGAAAGAAACAGAGAAAGTTTTTTTTTCTTTTTTTTTTTTAAATTCCCTCAGGTTTTGGTTCTAAATCTTTCTCAGAGTATTGCTATATCTGTGAATAAGAGTTTCCTGGGTGAGTTTAGTGAACATCCTGTCAGTTGCCTTTTGATTTTCAATAAAATCTAAGTTCTCAGAGTGGCTTTTTTCCTGTCCTAGGGCTTGGAGGGAAGTATAATTTCCACAGCTGTTACTGTGGTGTAGCTTCCACGGTACAAAGTCACTGAACGACTGTGCAAAATCAGGACTTCGTCACTTTCTCTAAGTTCTTCACCGCTATAGTTTCTCAGGAGCATTCCATGTTGTGTACGAGCAGCAAGTGAAAACACAAAACAAAACAAAAAAGCAAAAAAACACACCACTCAGGCTCTTCTGTATCTGTGCAGATGGGGAAATGTTATACAATCCCACATTGAAAAAGAACAATGCAGGGGCCAGCAGGTGGCATCATGATTAAGGCACTGGACATTCCCACATGGCCAACCATGGTGTCCCGGACCTGGTGACATGCTTTCTCTCTCACTGTCCCTCTCTCTGTGTGTCTCTCTCTGGTCAAATTAAAATAAACAACTGAATAAATAAAATTAAATAAGTAATTCTTAAAAAAAATTACAATGTGGCCAGCATACTGGAATCTCATTGACTTTTTATTACTTTGCCTTGGAACTATGGAGCAGTTAGTAAAAATCTGAAAATAATCTTCTGGGATGTGAATTAGGGGGTTAGAAGATCCACAGTTGCATCTTGGGGCCTATGAATCAGTTTTTGAACTAGATGGTGTTGAATCGGCTACCTAAAATTGTTGGAATCAGATGAAGAAATATATGTCAGGGAATTATAGATTCTTTAGTTCAGCCTGACTTTCTCCTATTTTTTCTCATTTTCACTCCCTTCATGGAGCAGAATTATTTTTCATGTAAAACTATAGGAATCTTAACTGTACCCTTCAGGGACAAGCTATCTCCCCGTTTTCCCTGTGTCTCATTCTTATCTGTTTCTCCTTTTCTCTTTCCTTTTCTATTCAGGACTGCACACACGTGGCTGCTATTTTGCAGGAAAAAGCATTGCATTGTCTGTTTTGTTTTAACATTCAAATGCTCAACTTGAATTCCTGTCTCTTTAGACATCATGCAAGAATGATACTCATTGGAGTCATGAGATATAATTTCTTTTCTCCCCTCTCCACTCCTTGTCTCCAGCAGCCCTGCAAAATAGCTCATTGCTTTGCATTGCTCAAGCATTCAAGTGTTTATAGAATCTAACGATCCTGATCTCTCACTTCCTTTTCTAAGCAGAAAATGATAGCTGAATGTGGCACAGTTCCCGGCGAAGCTGCATGAAACGTGGCAGATGAGCTGATGCCAAGGTCTGAAAAGAGCCGTAGGTGTGTGTTCTTAAAGGCGTTGTCCTTCAATAGAGTAAGGACTGCTTAAATTTATTTTTTAGGAGAAAAGCAATTTGAAGGATGTATTTGCAAATTTCCATGATTAATTTTTTAAAAATTTGTTTTATTTTAAAGAGCGATTTTTGCTACAGGGCGCATGTGATCACCTGAGAGACAGAGAGAGACAGAAAGCAAGAAATTGACCCCGGGGTACAGCCACATTGCAATCCCTTCTCCTCCATTCTTCTCTTGGGATTTTGGGCACACACACACATACTCGCCTGGGATGTACTTTAAGCCTCTGGGTCTGGGATTCAAACTGCGGTCAAATTCATGGGAGTCCAACCATTACGCCATCTGCTGGTCCCCATTGTCATTGTTTTTACTCAGCCTAACAGCATACCCCAAAGAAAAGTCCATGCCAAGTGAATTCAACAGCTGGGGCCAGATGGGAAGGGAAGATCACTGTGGTAGAACGACTGCCCCTGGAGAAACAAGGCCAAATATGAATAATAATTAGTGCCTTATTTTTCTGTACCCATTCTCACAAAAGAACAGTTCCTTAAGAAGCAATACTATGGCAAGAAAAACTTACTGACATCTATCAGAATCTGGATATCAGCACAGAAAACTGGCCACAGGGCTGGCCTCATAGCCTAGTTGTTGAAGGCTGCTAAAATTCATGTGGCCAACTGTGGTTTGAATCCTGTCCTTGGTGGCTTGAGGCACACATGGTACACATGTGCCTGTGTGCACAAAATTCTGGCAGGATGGAGAAATAGAGGAGATGGGGTTGTGGTGTGACTACGCCCCACTGAGGAGGGCAGTACTCCTTCTCCCTCCCTCTGTCCCTTTCTGGAGAGTGCATATGGTTTCAGGCAATTAACAAACAAACAAACACATGAAAACTACTAAAACCCTTCATCCACTAGACTTAAATTTCTATCTTTCTTTTTTGGGGGATATTTGTGCTACAGGGCACATGCACTCCCTGATGAGATAGAGAGATGTAAAGTGAGAAATCACCCCATGGAGGGATAGCCACACCACAATCCCTTTTCCTTAATTGTTCGCTTGGGATTTTGGGCATGCAGGTACATGTGCCTGATGTGAGTTTCAAGCTGCCAGGTCCAAGATTCAAACTGCTGTTGGCCATGTGCGAGTCCAGCACCACAACCACTATACCACCTGCTGGTCCCTAGGCTTATATTTCTTTAGATTACAAGCTTATATTAGCTATATGGGAAAATTCCAAAGACAATAAGGGGATGTGAAAAGGGTCGGTGTGAACTTGGAACACCTGGGTGCTGTGGCTACACAGATCTGTGGACTGGGTTCAGCTTTGGAGATTGCAGGGTCAGTGATCCAGCAGACATAGGGAATGCGGAATTGAGGTCCTCCTGCTGGGGAAAGGGAAAGTCAGGCAGGAGGCATGGACAAAATTTCATGTAATAATAATAGTCCATGCATGCCACGTTTGTCTCTAAGCACTTGGTATGACTTGCTTCATTAATCCTCACACAATCCTGGGATGTGACAATTGTCTCCAATTTACAGAGGAAGAAACAGTTATGGTACCTGAGGCCACACAAGACATAAGTGGCAGGGCCAGCATTTGAACCTGTATTTTTCACTCCTACAATGTCCTTTAGTAGGTAAATGGCTTCTGGGAGCCCTAGACTAGAACCTGGAGGGTAACCTCCTTAGAGACTCATGGTGCAGGTCTCTGCTAGGAAGGTTAGCTAGGAAGTACTTGAAGGTGAGTAATGGCTTACAATGTGAACTTATTTACGGATTCAGTAACTGCAAGTTCAAACTGCTATAGACATCTCAGCTGAGTTCTGGGTCACCTCTGTTTCTGTTCTGCTGTCCTTGGGGTGATGGCTGATATGGGGGTGGGGGGTGGGGTACTGCAGAATGCCAAATCTCACATCCGCGCAGAAAACTGGCCAGAGGGAAAGGAAGAGTTGACCTCTGGTGCTGTTGCAGAGGAACAAGGAAGAATTTTCATACACTTAGAGCAAAACTCTGCCCTCACCTTCAGGACTCTGAATCCAGCCCCCTGCCCGTTTCTAGTCTAGCTACTGACAAAGGGCATGCAGTTGCCAGCAACCAAGAGCTGGAATGGGGTTGACCTTTCCTGAGCCACATGAAGTTGGAGAGGACAGCTGAATATGGAAATACCTTTGCAGATCCCAGAGAGAGAGGAAAAAGAGGTAGGAGTTGGATGGCTACTCATAACTTCCAATCCACAGAGGCCAGACCTTGATCCTGGAGCTATAGAGTATCACAAATGCAGGGGTCTGGTAGAGCTTGATTTAAAGCTCAGTGACTTGATTCGATTGACAGTTCTAGAATGGACCGTAAGCAAGGTGAGTTAGATACAGTGTCAATAGCCCACCGGCCTACCATTTCTTACCTCTCTTTTGCCTGAGGTTTGAGGAATGACCACCTTCTGACTAGTAGTTCCATGTTGATCATGGAACAATTAGGCTGAACCTTTACCATGCCATATTGGTGAGCCTGGTATACCTGGTAAACTTGGAATACTATACATAATATTCTCCCTTATTTCCTATATTTCTCAAGTTTTGTTTTATCTTATTTTGTCTAGGCAGAGTCTTGCCATGTTGTAATCTTCCTGCTTTAGTCCCTGAGTCTACAGATGTGACTACAGATGTGCATCAACATGCCTGGCTTTTTAAGGTGAGCTGAAAGTCGAACCCCAGACTCCCACGCGGTCTCAGCTTGCAGACCGCACGCAGTCTTAGCACGTGCTACTGTGCCTGGGCCTCAGAATTTAACATTGACTTCTCAGGCTTTATTAAGGGAGTGAAGTTTGATTGAATGACTGATTTTTAGGGTGGCTCTTAAACACAGCTGTGAAGTTGGAAAAATGTTTCTTTGGTTCCCTGTGCTGTGCTTTGGGGCAGCAGTGGCAAATACAATGTCCCTGTTGCTGCTGCTGCCTCCAACTTCAGAGGCAGACGTCCATCATCCATCATGGTCCTCTTCCCTGCCGAGCACGTTGCAGCTAGAAACTATTCTCCATTCAGCGCTCAAGGCTGAACTGGCACAAGCATGGAAATGACTTCCCGTCCTTGCTCGGGAGGCAGCCTGGGAGAACCAGAGCGATGTGGTATTTGGACACAGGCAGGCCTGGGTTTGAATTCAGGCGCCACCACTACCTAACTTGGCAAATTAACTTACTTCTCTCAGCCTATTTCCTCTTCCATAAAGTGAGATTAATACCACCAATTTCATAGGCTGTTTGTGATACTAAATGAGATGGAATAGGTACTAGTCTTACCGGATTGCATGGCTCTCGAAAGGTTAGTCCATATTGCCTATCAAAAGGTAGACGAAAAACAAAATATGAGGAATGTATTCTCAGCAGCATGCCAAATATTTGTGTTTTGAGAGGAAAGTGGCTTTAATGAAAGGAACCGAAATGGAAATGGTAGTGTTTTATATTTCCTGTGTGGAGGTCGAATATTTTGAGCAAACGTTTTACTCTCTCAGACTACTTGGGCTGTTGCCGGTGCTGCCTAAAGACATGGCTTGATTTCAGTTTCTGAAATGTCAGCCTTGGCAGAGACCTAGTGTTTTAGGGAATTACAGAGGGAGGAGAATCCATAATCTTTGCCCTTGAGGAAGTCAAACCCGAGGTACACAATGACAAATAAACATACCATCGAATACAAATAGCTAAAGCCTGGAAATAGACCCACATATGCTAAATTATAGCTCCATAAATGTATTCACTCCTAAAATATCTGCATAGGCAGACAGATCAATGGAACAGAATAGAATCTTAAGTAGGCCCAAATACTTCAGGGAATCTAGGGGATGATAAAGGTGGCATTTTAAATCAGCGAGGGAAGATGGATTATTTAATAGATGGCATTGAGACAACTTTTTCAGCCATTTGGGGAGAAAAGAATTAGATCGCTCTCTCATTCCTTGCACTTTCTGTAGTACCGAAGCTTTACAGATAAAATGCAAAACTGTAAGTTTCATAAGACATCATGGAAAAAATCGTAATCTGAAAAAGGTTAAGAACTTCTCAAGAAACAACGTAAGTAGATATTAACAACAAAAGAGTGATAGACAGGACCAGCAGATGGTGTAATGGTTACATCACTGGACTCCCACGTTGTTGATCGCGGTTCAAATCCCAGACCTGGTGGCTTAAATCTCATGTGAGAACATGTGCACACGTGTCCAACATGCCAAGAGGAGAAAGGAAGAGAAGGGATTATGGTGTGGTCATCCTCCCGGGGGGTGATTTCTCCCTTTCTGTCTCTTTGTCTCTCCGGTGAGTGCATGTGCCCTATAGCAAAAATTTCTCTCTCTCTTAAAAAAAAAAAAAAAAAAGTGGTAGAGATAAATTCCTTTATGGAAAAGTATGGTAATCAAAGACAAAAGGCAAAACTGTAGAACATATCTGAGCTTGTCCATGTCCATGTCTAACTGCATTCCAGACTCTACTCATTTTTAACATACCTGCACTATACATGCTCCATATACTCAAAATACATATAAAAAGTCAATCATTGTAAATTGATAAGAAAAATACAATTTTAAAATATAGGCATATGATATGAAAAAGAAGTTCTGATAGAACAGTTAGCCATATTGCAGTCTAGCACCTGAAACACCTGTTGGTATCTATGTGTGTAGATATAAATTAAATATATATTATCTTTAAGTATATGTAATATTTATTATTTTATTTATATATATGTTTATATATTTTTTAAATCACCAGAGAAATAGAGAGGAGAGAAAGCACCCCCAGTGGGGTGTGGTCATGCTACAATCCCTTCTCCTTTTCTCTGTCCTGTTGGAAATTAGGGTATACATGAACACCTGTTCAGTGTGTTTTTCAAGCCTCCAGGACCAGGGCTCAAGCTGTAATATGAGGAATATGACTCTGCTACACAATGGGCAAACATGAAAAAAAAATATAAGTTTAGGCATATAAAAGAAAATCCAGTCTCATTTATAATTATAGAAATGCAAGTGTAGACTATGAAACAATTTTCACCTATCAGATTGGTGATAATTATAAAATTAGGAAAATTCCAGAGTGCAGGAGCATGTGAGGACACAAGTGCATACGCAATGCAAGTATAGTAAAAATTGGTTTGACCTCTTTGTATTGCAATTTGAAATACTACCAACATTTAAAATGTGACAATCTTGCAAATTATACTTCTAACAAATGGTCCTATGGTTTTATTTGTACCTATGTATAGAGAAGGCTGAACAAAAATTGTTCATTATTAATAATAGTTAAAGAAAATTGAAACAGGGAACAGTCCATGTATTCTTCAACAGGAACCTGACTGAAATTTTGATGTGGCCATTACATAAATTGCTGTAGAACCAGTAAAAAGAATTTAATGTAAGTTAATGTGCTGATGTGGGCAGATCTTTAATATATGCTATTAAATTAAACAAAAGGAAGGTATTTAACAGTGTCTACAGACATATTTTGCATAGGAAATTTCTAGAAGGCTGTACAAGAAACAATGGACTGTGGTTACCTATGGGGTGTGGGACTCTAGGATTGAGGTGGGGAGACTCACTTTTTCTTGCATAGTTTTTTTTTTTGTCCTATTTGAGTTTCTGACCCACAGTATGTGTAATTTCCATAATAAATGACTTCATTGATGGAAAGTAGAGTAACAAACAAAACCAATTGCATAGGGATTTCTCTCTGCAAATTTCTGTGTCCATTCTGCATTATGCATCTGTCCCATATTACTAAATCAAAAATAATAATGAAATTCTTATCAGAGTATAAGAAATATTGAAGCATTTCTGAAAAACAGGAATCAGGTTGATTCAATGTGTTACACCCTGAGGGGATGGACTCCCGGGCAAGCTTAGCTATTTGTCAGTCGTCTCGTCCACAGTCAATAAGGAACACTAGGGAAAGGGCCTTGAAACAAACACAGTGTACTATCATTTGGAACAGCTGGGTCCTTGCTTTTTCCCTGAACCTTGTTTTTTCTGAGAATAGGTCAGTAGAGTTGTGCCTGCATGAAGTCACTGTGGGTACCTGGGCCTACAGAGGCAGAGCGATGTTCTTAGTACTTACCAAGACCTGGACAATGTGGAATGCAGCTTCACAGAAACTGATCCACCAATAGGTTCCATCAGGTGCTATGGCTCACCATTCTTCTACCATCACCCCAGGCAGGCTAAAGTAGAAAAGCCATAGAGCTGACATTTTCAAAGGTGCTCGAACAAGACTCACCAAACACTTCAAGACAAACATCTCCATGAAAGTGAGACCAGCAGGTGTCATGGTGGTTAAAGATGCTGGACTCCCACATGGCTGACTGTGGTTCAAGTCCCGGACTTGGAGGCTTGCTTTCTCACTTTTTTTCCCTCTCTCTCTCACTCCATCCCTCTTTGGTCAAATTAAAAAATAAATAAATAAAGTTAAATAAAATAATTCTTTAATTAAAAAAAAGGCGAGACCCTAAGTGGGTAGCAGAAGAGATAAAAAATAAAGAAAAAATTAACATAGCAAACAGAAGATGTTAGAGTAAGCGTAATTAGGCCCAGTTCAGGTGATCCAGTTTGTAGAGTAATGGAAGTCATGTGGTGGGCCATGGGTTTGGATCCCCAGTGCTGCTGACCTAAAATGCAAAAGCCATGTGGACATTTGCCCAAGATCCTGATGAGCAGGAGGGTTGGAGGAAGGAGATTGTGGCCTGAGCAGACCTTGTTGAAGGGACTTCTTTAGCTCTCATGCATACATATAAATTCTCTGTAATGAATAAGAAAATAACTTAAAGTAAGCATATTTAATCCCTCTGGGGATATGCAATGAAATATTAAGGACATTGCAACCATGAACCATACACTGCATTCAATTAAAATGTATTTGTTGAAATAAAGTATTTGGTAAATTTCTCTTACTTAGTATTAAGAGTAATTAACTTTTGGGAACCAGCAGTTAGCGTAATGGCTATGTCGCTGGACTCCCACATACTCAACCGCAGTTCGCATCCCGGACCCGGTGGCTTAAAACTCACGCTGGGCACGTGTGCGTGCGTGCCCAAGATCCCGAGAGGAGAATGGAGGAGAAGGGATTGTGGCGTGACCATCCCCCCTGGGGGGTGATTTCTCGCTTTCTGTCTCTATGTCTCTTTCTGTCTGTCTGGAGAGCGCACGCGCCCTATAGTGAAAACGTCTCAAAAAAAAAAAAGAGTAATTAACTTTTTATTAATTCAGAAAGAATGTTGAAGATGCTCATTGTCAGGCACTTCAAGATGATGCTATGTCTAGTAGTGGCATATTTTTCTAAATTTGAAAAGTATTTTCTCTTCTGGTCCTCATAATATCCCTGTAAGGTAAACAGAACAGGGCAAGACTTTTATACTTCATTTTATGCATCAGGAGATGTGCCTTGGCATAAAGTTAAATGTCTTGCTTATAATGAAACAATCAGGGTCAAAGATGAAATTCACACCTGGGATTTTTAATTTCGAATACAATCATGCCCTGCATAATGGTGCTTTGGTCAGTGACAAACTGCATGCTGTAGTGGTCTCATACCCCTACAATGGAACTGAAGAATTCCCATTGGCCAATACCATCCCAGCCGTAGTGTAGTATCACAACACATTACTCATATGTTTATGTGATGGTGGTATAAACAAACTGGCTACACTGACGGTTGTACA